CCGCTTAAGTCTCTTAAATTCAAACCATGCGAAACAACGAGCTATAAACGACTTATTTGACAAAATCAATGAGATTACGAAATGGGATTATTTCTCAAGTTATCACCTTGAAGCAAAAAAATAGATATCGTGACACGTTTTCTAGAAAAGACAATGAAATTGTATTTTGTAAAGACCATGAACTATTCCTTACAACATTACGACAAATATTCATTACTAATGATATGCGATCTCTCGTATCATTACTGTTTACACATTTGACAACTTTACACGTTTCATTTCGCAATTGACTCTGAGCACTGACACAAATGATAGATCGTCATCATTAGCTTGTACTTCTGTTTGTTATGCGTTTGAATTTAGATAAATAAATAGTTTATTTCAACAAACACAAGATTTACATAATAATTATTAGTTCGTTAGTTCGATAGTAACTACAGTAATTCGCAAGACAGTATCGCAGCTATTGACGTTCTTCCTCTAGTAACAAGTAGAATGAGCCGTTCCAAATCTTGCTTCAATAATACAAAACTCCACAAATTCAAAGTCGCTCAGCTTGCGATGGAGCGAGTTATGCTCGGGGTTTCTCTGATGGGCCGAATCCCTAACGAGGTCATACGTCAGAGAACTAAAGTGACCGACATAGATCGCAAAATCAGTAAGCTTATGCGGCAGCGGCTCGAACAAGTCGGTGGTAGGGTTGATCACCGATGGAGCAGAATTGTTCTGGAATGCGACCATGTCAAGGAAAAAGGACTTATTGCTTTTATTGCTAGGATGTACTGCTTATTTCTCTTTACTCTCTCATAACTCGATCTCAATCGGGCTGACCAACCATGTTAATTCGTGTAAATGAAACGATATGGAACATGGTCATTTTTATAAGTAAAACAATCGTTATTCAATAGGTAGTATTTTACTATGACAAGGAAACTCGGCGAAACTCTTTCGAGATACCGCCACCTAAAGTTTCTTTTTCTTAGAATAATGTTAATATTTTTTAACGCACGCACTCTACTGGCTCCGCATTGGGGAAACCCTGTGTCACGGGTGCCATGGACACTCACTACAGACTACAAATTATATAAATAAGGAATGAAACAATTTTTCCGCATTTAAATCACGTATATTCTTTGTCAACCGTGACCATTTACAGGTCTGTAAACGGCCCGAAAGGTTGGTTTGTTTAAAAAAACAAATATACGCGATTTGAATCTGGAAAAATAGTTTCACTTCCTGTTTGTAATAATCGCGAAAACATCACTAGCGTTGCTCCGATTCCGATTAAAAAATAGTTTGCTATATTGACCCGACTGGGGATCGAAGCCGGGACTTCAGAAATGGCGACACCATGAAAGCCGGTGCGCAAGCCACTCGACCACGGAGGTGGTTAGTAATGTAGTCAATTTCAAATTCAAATTCTTTATTTGTCACGTCACAAAGCTCGTAACATTTAGCACGTCAATAGTACAAAATATCTTATCAAAGTCATTTACTACTAACATTTAATATTACCTATAACTAACGCACACACTCAACATACTACTAGAACTAAATTCAAAGATTTGCACAATATACACATAAATTTAATTATTATTTAATAATACTATATTGTTATGAAATAAATCTCATAAGTAATAAATCATTAATAGACACATTAAATGTTATAAAATTATGAGCATTTTTTTTAATGCATAAGGTCAAAATATTCGTCAACTTTATAGAGTGGATTTTCAATTAAAAATTTTTTCATCTTTGTTTTGAATTCTAATTCGGGCAATTCGGATATAGTCGGTGGTAGTTCATTGTATAATTTTATCTTTAGACAGTAACCTTGCTTAGCAGTTCTTTTCAATCTCGTTTTTGGTACTATCGGTTTGTTTTTGTTTCTAGTATTGTAAGTGTGTGTGTCTCTGGTTCTTCTTAAGTTATTCTTCTTTTTATGTACTTCCTTCAAGGAATTAAAAATAAACAATGATATTACTGTCATGACCCCCAATTTAACAAAAAAGATTTTTGCGGATATTCTTCTTTGGATACCACTGATTATTCTAATCGATCTTTTCTGTAGCACCAGAACGCGTTTTACATCGGCGCCGTTGCCCCAAATTGTCACAGCGTCATTGACTTACAAATAAATGGACGACGGGTCTAATACAAAAACCACGAAAAAAATGTCCCAAGTCAACCTATTTAAACGTAGTGATATGTAAAGGAATATGAAAAAGCTAAAACGTTGAATTTAAATTGTAATGTCATCGCAGTACTGTCTAATTTCGCTTGCTTCGCTGTCAGAAGAAACAAACGAAGACTAAAGCGTGAATGACGCTCTGTATACGATTTTAACGCCCTATAAGTTCGGACACTTTTTAGCGCGGACCCGACGTCCAAATAATTGTAAGTCAATGCACAGCGTAATTTATTATCGAATGAATGTACGCATAATACACAGTCAACAATGTATTTTTATCGATTAATGGCTTTAATATAAGAAGTGCATAATTTCCACCTTCTATTTTATTACACACATTATTGATATGAGTTTGATGACTCAAAGTATTATCAACAGCATAGCCTAAAAATTTTGTATTTGGTTTAAAATCTAGCGTACGTTGTTTTCCCGAGCAACATTACATAACAGTTGTTTTCTCTTTATTGAGTAGTATACCGTTAGCAGTAAACCATTTGTCTAATAGGCTAACTACTTCATCAACTTTTTGTGCCATAGTTGATATTGTTAACGTGGTTTGGTTTAGTGTACTCAATCGTTTACATATATTTCTAAAGGCAACACGATGGAAGTCATGTTATATATGAACTCTTTGCATATCTAGCCTATCCTGCAGGAAATGGTTTGTCTTGGATTGGTAAAAACATAGTTTTCAGTTCGAACATCGCGAGCACAAAATTTTAAATTATTTTGTCGGCTTTTTAACTTCAGGATTCTGGACGTGGCATAATTTTCATATTAATAATATTGCTTTTTTCACAAGTATAGCGTAATAAACTAGGATACATTGTATTGTTATTACAGTAAATAATTATATTTTATAATTAATCATATTTTTGTCTAATATAAAGCGTCTGTTTAAAGGTAAAACCACATAAGTGACATTTTCTACAAAAATCTTTATATAGCTTTGGTAAGAAAATCGCTATCTTTCTGCAGGTGTAACTCAATAACAAAAAGCTATAAACTCAATTAGTGGTTTTGTTTGCAGAAAGATGGGGAATTTTCTTACAGCAGGTACATAATTTGGATTTTTTTGTGGATTTATGGAATGTCACTTATGTTGTTTTACCTTTAAACAGTCGAAATTATAATTTGAAAATATCAATTATTAACCACTTATCTGTGACAGCGCGTTATTATCTACATTTTTGTCCGCAAAAAATATAAAAGTACTTAATTTTTTTTCAATGAAAAACTTTTAACATATTTTTTCCAAATTTATAACTCAATTAGAGATATTCAAATAAATATAATAATTATCAGGCGACTAGAATAATTAAAAAATATACTTATCGCTTTTTTTTTGTTTGGAACAAAACTGAAGAATAAAATTATAACTTAATAGACGTGAGTATATTTTTTAATGGGCAACGTATATACTTTTTTTGTTAATTTGTATTGTTTTGTTAGTCAAATAATGTTAATAATATCTAAATTTTGAATAATGACAAAATGGAAAGAAAAATACAAATTTGAAATTGATTTTCCTGAAGTTGCTCCACACACGTATCTTGTGGTATTTCAACGTTACTTAATTAAGTAATTTCCTCAATCTTAGCCAGACTATTTATTTATTATTGCACATTTCCTCACCAACTTTTTGTATTTCAAATCGAGACCATTGTAGTTGATATACGATTTTGAAAACCTTACAAGCGTTACCTTACATTAATTACGTAAGTGCGGTCGTCGGCCAGACCACGAGATGGATGTGAAACATTAGCTAATTTGATTGTGTACCACTGCACATTACAAATCGACTAATCACGTCTCTAATCGCTTAGGTACGTCTACTTCTAAAATTTACTCATTTGATGTTCTCTAGTTCGTTACAGTACTCGTCGTTCTTTCTTGAATATTTGAGTACTACGTACTTACTTTTCGTGGTAACATATCTGTGAAATGATTACTTTCAGAAAATAGGTTTAAAGATTTTTTACATATTTAAATTTCATTTTGAAAGCAAATATTGCTTTCTTCGTTCTTTTAATAATAATAATAATATTTTTTTATTTAAGACAACATAAGTCCACTTGTGAGTTTTACAGAAATCTTGTTAATTTACAATTCAATATTTATAAATGTAATAAATTAAAATAAAATCACAATTAAAATTAAAATTTAAAATTGAAATTTTAGGTTATGTTAATAATTAACGTTAATACTATGTTACTTTGAAGTACAGAGTTAAATATTATTCTGAGATAAGTATGATTGAGTTCACATTAAAAGTAACACTTATTAGATTCATTACGATAAACGTGTTAAAATGGTGCAAAAAAGATAAGACTTTTTCACACAAACAACAACAATTTCTTCTTGAATTTTCTGATAAGATCATTACCTAAAAGTGTTACAATAATTGTAACTTTGTAATTATCTCAACGTTGAAGATGTCATGGCAAGTGTAAACGAGACTTAAAAGTAATATGTCAAAATGTAAGTCGTGTTGCGTTCAAAAACAAATATTAAAATTCCTTTTCAGGTAAATTGCACTTATTATTAAAATGCACACCTTTTTTCCGCAACTTATTTCTAAGTTTTATTAATAAAATTATTTTTCAAGTTATATTTAGATGGATATAAAGTTTCATCCGGTCGCGACTAAAATATTTGTGAGTCCAAAATGGGTATTGTTCTTTCTGCTGTCAATCAACCAACATTCATTTTTTCTACGTGACCTATTTCGTGTGTAATAATAATAAATAATAGCTAAGTTAACGTTATGGAATAAACAATTATCGACCTTTCTCTTTATTTGTTATAGGACAGCGCATTAAGAACGACAGTGCCTTTGACGCGCTTCGCCTGTCACGGCCGACCTGCGGGCTACTACGCCGACGTCGACACTGGCTGCCAGGTGAGTCTTTAACATTTCGGTCTTTTTAACGAATACTCTGTTTACAAATCGAACATGAAGAATAATTTTTGAAAAATCTCTCACTAGATGTCGCTAGTCACACAAAAACACATGGGAGAATTTCGACAGCTTGGTAACTTGACCTGTGGCTCAGTTGGTTAGAGCAATGCTACGGTGCAGCATGGTCGTGGGTTCAAGTCCCGCCGGAACGAAAAAAAATTCAAGGTCTTCGATCTTTGTATTAATAATCTTAACGAAAGTAGTGGAGATATTTCACAAATTTCAATAACATAACTTTTTAACCCCCGACGCAAGGGACGGCGAGTCATAAGTTTAAAGAATTTATCTGTATGTCTGTGGCATCGTAGCTCTAAAACTAACATGAGATAGTATTGTTTGCTGATGATACTTCCTTATTATTTAAAGTTAAAAGGCACCAATGTTCCTACGACGATGTGAACAATGCTATATCTAAAGTAGTTGATTGGTTTGCTGTTAATAACCTACTTCTTAATGAGAAAAAAACAAATTGTGTGAAATTTACATTACCCAATGTTAGAGAGACGGTTACAAACATTGTAGTTAGAAACGAAAAATTGAATCTTGTGGATACAGTTGTATTTCTAGGTATAACGTTAGATGCTAAATTGCAATGGGGTCCCCATATAAGTAAGTTATCAAAACGGCTCGGCTCTGCAATGTACGCGATTAAAAAAATAAGGAAACTTTCAGACGTCGAAACCGCTAGATTGGTTTACTTCAGCTACTTTCACAGTCTAATGACATATGGTATTTTGCTTTGGGGTAATGCCGCCGATATCAATAGAATCTTTGTCCTGCAGAAACGTGCAGTTAGGGCAATTTACAATCTTGGCCCCAAAGTATCTTTGAGAGATAAGTTTAAGGAAATTAACATTCTTACACTAGCCTCACAGTACATTTATGAAAATGTAATTTATGTTAAAAGGAATAGTAATTTATTTATGAAAAATAGTGACAGACATAACATTAATACTAGGAGTAGAAATAAACTAGCTTTTCTTAATAGTCGTCTTCACAAAGTGAAAAAATCATTTAAGGGGCAATGTATACGCTTCTATAACAAGATTCCGTTTGATATACAAAATTTACCATTCACGAGGTTTAAAACTATAGTGGAACAAAAACTTTATACTAAAGGTTATTATACAACTTCTGCGTACTTGGATGACAAAAATCCGTGGTAGTAACCCGTTTAGCTCATGGAGGTAGTCTCGATCTGTGATGTTTCAAATAAAACAAAAAAAATATTGTAAATGTTATTTACAAAGAGCAACCCCTAGAGTTTCTTGCTCATTCTTCTCAGGGGTATCTGCCTTACGAATGAGCGGTAGAGTTTAACCATTGTGACGATTTCAAGTGTAATAATGCTTACCTATGAAATAAAGATTATTTTGAATTTGAATTTGAATTTGAAACGATAATTTAATCGTGATGATTCTTATGTTTGTTGTTTTTATTTTCTTCAGATGTTTAAAGATCATTAGCACTTTTCCCAGTTAGCACAGGGGTAAGATGAATATGTATTTACTTCCACTTGTCCCATCGACTTGAAATTTGGTATTAGTAGTATGGAAATTCGATGACATTTAAATAGCATGGTAACTTTGATCTGATGCTGCAGCTAGGACATTCTGTAGATTACCTAAAGTAGAACTATCGTGATTGGGCCTATTAACTTGGCGTTGATAAGTTGTTAGCTTACTTGAGTTTTTGTAGTACCTGCACTGTTTTGTATTAGGGGATTTTAAATTTTAATTTATTTGTAATAATATTGAATCCATCCTAATTCATGTATGTCGAGTGATTAAAATTAATAACACACGGGATACTTGGAAGCAAGTTTTTTTTCCATCGGTTCACAATACTGGATACAAATTCTTAAATAAAATAAAAATGATTGGTTAACATTATGAGGCGAGAAGAGTGTGTCCTTCTAGATGTTTTAATTTAAAATTTACATCTACCATTTTATAAACATTATTGTAACTTTTTATTTAAAAAAATCGACCTCAAAAGTCCATGAAATTACATTTATTTGCAGTTTTATTGAAATCGGTTACCGGGAAGTGCGCGAAACCGGATTCACTCCCTAGTGTGGGACCCTTAAAGGTGGAATATTTTCTTCAAATTTAAATGGGACTAATGCTGAGGCACCCCTTTCCAACATAAAAAGGAATCATCAAAATCGGTTCACAATTGCCGAAGAATCGTGTTACATACACACAAAAACAGTCGAATTTAGAACCTCTTCCTTTTTTTGAAGTCGTTTAAAAACAGACAATAATAAACCATCGTCCAGTCCGCACATAAGGCATTTTCTTATTGAGGTGTTAGCTGAGACCACAGAACCAGAGAACATATCACAATAATATCTGATAGCATTAGAAGAGCACATGCGACACACTGAACAATGTTGACCATGGATATAGGAGTTGACCCAGGTTGGTTCTCCAAGTAGGACGTGAGAAAGTTTTACGATCGAGTAGGCGGCTTCCGAGACGAGAGTGGATAGGTACATGCACTCGAGTATATCAAGTGCATCTATGACACCGGTGTTTTTGTAATGAGGACATATTAGAGTAGGAGAGACGTGTCTCATTATGAAAGTATCCCGTGTAGTGTAGTATAGAATAGAATTAGTTTATTATAGAACTATTTGTATTACAGTTTCCTTTCAAATAATGTAAATGTTGAGTCATGCAACCGCTCACACAATGCAGCTGTTACCTAAAATATTACGTCATTTGAAAATCTCTTCTTCAAATGGTTACGTTTTTCATTATTGGTTGCATTGAAGGAATGCTTGATATCCGTAAATAATGCGATCGGTTTTAATTAACAACAAATAGCAATAACATAGGTAATTATCGAGGAAGCGCACGTGTGAACACATGATAATGTATGATCACATGATCACGCTTCACGATCGGTCATGATAATTGAATCGTATGTAAATGTTGAATTAATTGTTGCTATATTCACTTGTTTTGTTGCAGATTGTATTCCACTTCATTAATATTCTTGATATTGATGTGGAAACTGCAATAGGAGCATCGTATATTATGAAATGCTAATTGCATTATCGTTTTGTTCATTGAAATCGTTAATAATAATTTTGTAGCAGTAGAGCTTCCAGTGAATGAGTTTGTCCAAAAAAGCTCTGTCATCTTACGTATTTATGATGCCAAGAAGTAATATGAGCAGTATGAGGTTTTGTAGGGTGAGGGTGACACTGCATGCATACGAGACTTTTCAAGTTCATGTATCAGGGTGACGGAACACTGGTAGCCCTCTATTTAATGGTTTCTAAAGCCAGTGACGTACGTATATTGCACAAAATAGTTAATGGTGGATTTGGTGACATATTACTGGTTCAGATCTGCATAAAGGTGCCAACTGGTTCAGTTTGCCGACCTCAATTATTTGCTGATCAAGCTTTTATAAGTACTAAGGTTTCTGCAAATAGTCCAACTTACCGAATGTGTAGAACATTATAATGATATTTGCTGTAACCATGATATATTCCGTTTTAGACTTCCTGCAGTCGTAAAGTCCGTCATTTTTTTTCATTCATCATCGTCATCGTTTGACCCATTACAAGACCTATTTCTATTTTGAAATTCTTCTATATTTTTTTTTGTTCATAAAATCGCACAGTCCGATTTACTCATACTGTACTAGTTAAAAAAATACACTGTATAATGTTTAGTATGGGAAGATTTTAATGGTAATAGTAGAGAAGATGAATGGAGAAAGTGCGACGTCTTTGCCCAGCAGTGGAACAACTGCTGTTTTAAAAAAAAAAATTATTAATGAAATAATTATTTAAAGTTTGCAAATACTGAACGCCGTTAAGTGCAAAGATAACCAAAAGATGGTTGTTACCAGATGTGTGACACACGGCGAAGGTGATCCACTGCCATATTCGGCGTTCGCCATCTCGTCCCATGATTTTGTATACGGATTGTACTCCGAACACGTCTCGACTCACGATTTTTTGACGTAACACCACAAAATGTAACCTATAAAACATAAATGGTAACGTTTTTAATATCTTATTTTGTTGTGATTGCACGAGTTATCAATTTTGAATGAGAGGCTTATTTAACTACTATGTCGATTACGCAAACTGCAAACGACTTATTGGCTGCATCACACAATGCCGTTGCTGGTTTCATAAAACGGTAAAACTTTCAAGATGGCGCTGATTCGCGCGCTTTTAAAAGATTTATTGGTTGTTTTACGTAATATATGTAAGAATTAAGGTCATTACAGCAATGCGCTTTGTAAAGTTTAATCACTTATGTGGTGTAATTAAGTACCGATTAAGCAGAAATGCCATATTTAATTTTACGAAACCAATGGAATGACTCGAACTGCTAAAATCGAACTTTAAGCAGTTACTGCATGTCGTAAATAGGTAGTATATGTATGTACCTACATTAAATTTCCGTTTTATGATGTATTATTTATTTATTTATTATTATATTTTATTTATTTATTACATCAACATTATATGTATATATGACAATAAAAGAATTAGACATAAGGCTAGGACATATATGACAATTATAGACGTACACAACATTTGCTATCCACTGCACCATATACATTTAATTTCACTACAACATCGCTGACATAATTACGCAATGGTTTTAAAAAGAATTTACTTTGATAACATTGACTTACAATTATATGGACGTCGGGTCCGCGCTAAAAAGTGTCCGAACTTATAGGTCGTTAAAATCATATACAGAGCGTCATTCACGCTTTAGTCTTCGTTTGTTCGACTGACAGCGAAGCAAGCAGAATTAGACAGTACTGCGATGACATTACAACTTAAATTCAACGATTTAGCTTTTTCATATTCCTTTACATGTCACTACGTTTAAATAGGTTGACTTGGGACATTTTTTTCGTGGTTTTTGTATTAGACCCGTCGTCCATTTATTTGTAAG